ATTATTTTGTTATTTTATATGTTAAATTATTTATAATTATATTATTATATTATTTATTAACATATTTTATTTTTATTTATATTTTATATTATTATTGTTGTATAATTATTTGTTTATAATTTATTGAAATGATTTAAATTAATATAAATGAATGTAATTATGAATTAAATAATTTTATATTTTATTATTTCATTTATTTATCATTCTTCATTATTTGATATATTATTTTATTCATTGATAATTTATGGTTTGAATATTATATTTATCATTTATCATTTATTTTATCATATTTTATTAATTATTGAAATATTATATAAATATTTTATTATTTAATTTAATTTATCAATTAATATATTCATTTATTTATGTTTTATTCATTATATTATTCTTATTTATATTATTTCTTATTTAAATAATCATTTTAAATATAAAATAATAATAAAAATAAAGAAAGAAAAGAATAAATTAAGAATGAATAAAAATAAAAGAAAATAGAATAAATGATTTCATAATCATTTATCATTAATTATATCATTGATTATATTATCTTTTATTATAAATATATTGATTATTCATTTATTATTATATTTATTGTCATTTATCATATTTTATTATTATATTATTAAATAAAAATAAAATATAAAATGAAATAATGAATGAAATATAAAATAAAATGAAATATTTAATAATTATGAATTTATTAAAAATATAAATAAATAACATTTTATTTTATTTGTTATTATTTATTGTTTTTCATAACAAATATCAATTGATAAAAATAGAATGATGATAAAAGAATAAAAAAGAAGAAATTAAAATATAAAAATAAAAGAACTAATAAAAACAACTAATAAATAATAAATCAAGAATGAATTAGGATATAATGAAATAATGATAACATCAAAATATTTCAATGATATTAAAGATTTTATTAATTTAGAAATAGGAATTAAAAGATTTCAAGGAAACATGAAACGATTTCATTTTAATCCAATTCCATTAAATGAATATTCAAGAAAATTCTTTCCTAATATTGAAACATTTCATGTTTATAATAGAGGTGATGAAATATTTAAAGATGGAAAAATATTTAAAAAAGTAATATGGTATACAGTAAATTATTCAACATATATACAAGAAAAAGAACAAGGAAATATCTGTAAAAATATAGAATATACAAAAGAAGATAGAAAATCATATGGAAATACAATACCATCAGAAGTTAAATCACTTGGATATGAATGTTTTTATGAATGTTCATCATTAACAACAATTAATATACCATCATCAATTAGTAAATTAGGAAGTTGTTGTTTTAAATATTGTTCATCATTAAAATCAATTAATTTACCATTATCAATTACGTCATTTGGAACTAATTGTTTTTATGAATGTTCATCATTAACATCAATGAATATAGATAATATACAGTTTATTAGTAAAGAAAAAATATTTATGAATGAACCAGTGTTAATTAGTATTGAAATACCAGATAATCTACAAACAATAAATGGAAAGAATATTGAAAAGAAAGACATTAATGAATTTATTATTCTATCATCAATTAGTGAATTAGGATATTGTTGTTTTTATGAATGTTCATTATTAACATCAATTAATATACCATCATCAATTAAAGAAATAGGAGATTATTGTTTTTATAAATGTTCATCATTAAAATCAATTAATTTACCATTATCAATTACATCATTTGGAAATTATTGTTTTTATAAATGTTATTCATTAACATCGATGAATATAGAAAATCTACAGTTTATTAGTGAAGAAAGAATATTTATGAATGAACCAGTGTTAATTAGTATTAAAATACCATATACTATACAAATAATCAATGGAAAGAATATTTTCAAGAAAGATATTAATGAATTTATTATTCCATCATCAATTAGTGAATTAGGATTTAGTTGTTTTAAAGAATGTTTATCATTAATATCAATTAATATACCATCATCAATTAAAGAAATAGGATGGAGTTGTTTTTATGAATGTTCATCATTAACATCAATTAATATACCTTCATCAGTTATATCAATAGGAGATGGTTGTTTTTATGGATGTACATCATTAAAATCAATTAATATACCATCATCTGTAAGTAAAATAGGAGATAATTTTTTTGAAGGATGTTATTCATTAACATCAATTAACATACCATCATCAATTACTTCATTTGGAGATTGGTGTTTTAATACTTGTTCATCATTACAATCAATTAATATTCCATCATCAATTAGTGAAATAGGAACTTGTTGTTTTTATAAATGTTCATCATTAACATCAATTAATATACCATCATCAATTACATCATTTGGATCTGGATGTTTTTATAAATGTGGATGTAAAGAAGAATTAATGAAAAATAAAACAATACCAAGAAATTGTTTTAACAAATGGTGATGAATGAAATAAAAATACAATAAATGAAATACAATATAAATTGAAGTAGAAATAAATTATAATTGATTATCATTTATATTATTATTATTCTTTTCTTATTTATTCTTTTTGATATTATTCTTTTCTATCTTATTGATTGATATATCATTCTTTATATTTGTTTTATAATTCTTTTTTTATTCTTTATTTATTTTTATTTTATTTTTATATTCTTATTCTTATCTTTCTTTTTTATTTTATTTCTTTATTTTCTTTTGTTTATTATTTATTATATATTTTATTTTATTTATCTTCTTATTTATTTCTTTTATTTACATTTTATATTTATTCATTCTTTATTCATCATTTTGTTTTAATTTATATTAAAATTATTTAGAAATGAGAGAATATAATGATGAATTTGATTTTATATTTTGATTATTTCATTAATCAAATTGTTGATTAATGATTATTGTTG